CAACCCGAACCTGAGACCCTACCCCTACGGATCCAAGCGACGCTGGGGTATCGAACACCGCCGGTGGGGTCGACGTGGCTGCAGAAATCCTTCAAGTTTTGAGCCCTGGCAGGTTTTTGAAAAATCTGACCTGCAGGGATGGGATTCACACGAACGACGGAAGAAAATTGGGTCGATTGCGCGGACAGTCGCGCGTAAGGTTCCCGCGTAACACTGCGCGTGAGCGCCCTCTTCTCCGCGCGGCGCGCCGCGCTGGCGGCCCGCATCGATGTCTCGCGTAAGGCCCGTCTGAATTCGCCTCGTCGCTCACACGTGGCTGCCTGCCGAAGCCTTACGGTCGGGAACTCTTGGCCAGCGCGTCGTTCCGCCTCTTCTGCGCGACAAGCCAATCTCGGGCCGGGCGAAAGGGGGGGATTGGGAAAGGGGGGGTTACGAAATTTGCTGCATGCAGCTGGTTTCGGCCTCACCGAGGGGGCCATTCCTCGATACATGGCCGCCCCCGGCGCCGGGAGGCGCCGGGAAAATCAGCTACGTGAGCTGATTCTCAAACCACCCCCTTTGCTATCCCCCCCATTCGCCCGACCCGATAATCACGCCCCGGCCCCCAAGCATCAGCGGCGCGAGCCTGCCAGCCTCCTGCCTCGCGGAGCGGAGCGACACGCCAGCCACTCGCAAGGCATGGCGTGCCGCCGGGGCCGCCGGGCCGACACGCTCCTCCTCCGCCTCCTCCGCCTCCTCCTCCTCCTCCCCCTCCTCCTCCTCCTCCTCCTCCTCTCTCGCTGCCTCCTCCTCCCTCCTCCTCCTCCTCCTCCTCCTCCTCCTCGCCGAAAGCTGCCGGCCGTGCCAAGCGAGGTGGTGCCGGGAGGCCTGCTGAAGTGCGCGCTGCTGGTGCGCGGCAGCCTGGACCTCTCCGTGGACCTGCCGGAGCCTGGACCTCTCCGTGGACCTGCCGGAGCTGCGGCAGTGGCGGCGCGACAGCCTGGCGGTCGAGGTGCGGATGGTGCACCTGGACAGCAGGAAGGTCTGCCACGCCTGGCCGCGCACGTTGAGGCTCGAGGAAGAATAAAAAAGAAGAAGAAGAAGAAGAAGAAGGAGCGGCATCAACATAGGGTCGGGACTTGGTGCTTTACTTCGTGGTTCGAGCTTTTCGAACGTTTCCGTCGTTTCTCCGCGGCTTTCCAGCCTCGGGAGGCGTTCCAGCAGCTGCGCCTCGTTAAGAGTCTTCCGGGCCGCCTGGATCGTCCCGAACGGCCGCGGGAGCCCGACTAATGATTTGAAATCGGGGAGCCTCCTCCTCCACTCCTTTTCCTCATAAGTAATTTATCCCTGTCGCACCCCGAAGCAAGTTTTTTAGGGCGGGCCGGGCGTCTCGCCTGAGACTTCCTCACCATTAGTGACTCTGAAGCTCAAAACTTGGCAACACTTTCACAGATGGAGGGCGGGTCGTTTTCAAACTGTAGCTCTGGCCTTAGCGCCGAGCACATTCGTTGTAGAGAATTGCAAGAGCTTCACGGATTGAGGGCGAATGGTTTTCAAAATGTGGCTCTCGCCCTAGCGCCGCGCACATTCATTTAACAAGATTGCAGGTGTTTCACGACTTGAGGGCTGCTCCTTTTCAAAATTTGGCTCTCGCCTCAGCGCCGTGCACATTCGTTTTCACCATTTGCAAGAATTTCGCGAATTGAGGGCGGTTCCTTTTCAAAATGTGGTTCTCGCGTTAGCGCCGCGCACATTCGTTTATTTATAAATTGCGCAAAGAGTTTCACGGATTCACATGTCAGCGTACCAGAAATTGCGTTTTGGAAAGATTCCGGACTATACGGGCGCAACAGTTATGCCGATTCGCGGTGTTGAAGTCCCAGGAATGGCGTTCTGGCACGATTTCGGATAGTCAAGACGCAACAGTCAGGTTGATCCGTTGAGTTGAATTCCCGAGAACAATGTTTACGCATGCTTCAGGGTCTTCAAGAGGTTGTCTTCCAACGAGGCAGTTCTTTCAATGGAACTGAACCGTTATAGGGGCCTATGGATAGGGAGCTTGGAGGGAGGGCTTATTCCAACATCGTTGATGACTCTTGGGTTCACACTGGTCTTCCTCCTCCTCCTCCTCCCTCTCCTCCTCCCCCTCCTCCTCCTCCTCCTCCTCCTCCTCCTTCTCCTCTTCCTCCTCCCTCTCCTCCTCCTCCTCCTCCTCCTCCTCCTCCTCCTCCTCCTCCTCCTCCTCCTCCTCCCCCTCCCCCTCCTCATCCTCCTCCTTCTCCTCCTCCTCCTCCTCCTCCTCCTCCTCCTCTTCCTCCTAGCTGCCGAGCATTCGCCTGAGCAGACTCCCTCGAAGCACGCGCCACGGGTCGGTCGGGAGCTTCTGGTTCACGTGTCGCGCCGCCGGCTCTGGCCCACAGCGCCTCGGCGCGACACGCTGATCACGTTCCAGCCCCCGCGGCGTCGAGGGAAAAGGAAAAAGGGGGGAGGAGGAGGAGGAGTAGGAGGAGGAGGAGGAGGGGAGGAGGAGAGGGGGAGGAGGAGGAGGAGGAGGAGGAGGAGGGGGAGGAGGAGGAGGAGGAGGAGGAGGAGGAGGAGGAGGAGGAGGACGAGGAGGAGGAGGAGGAGGGGGGAGGAGCGTGTAGCCGAGCCTTTGCTAGCTTGCCGCCCCGCGGCGCGGAGCGACACGCTGCCGCTCACAGGGCATGGCAGGTAGCCGGGGCCGCCACCGCGACACGCGGAGCAGAAGTTCCAGGCCGAAGCCAGCGCAGATCCAGGGAGTCCGCGCGGGCTTCCGATCGCCGACAGGTCGTGTCTACCCAGACATCTTATGTCCTGATTTGTTCAATACAGGGCCCCCAGAAATCCCGACCCTTTCCCCAGGGCAACTGCTTCGTCCCGAGTCGTTTCGGGGGGGCATACAGCGAGGGCCCCCAGAGACCGAGAGCAGGCAACACCTCATGATTGATTGCTTCAGACCCAGACATGCGACGTCCTGATTTTTCAGGACGGCGTCCCTGGAAGTCCCGACCCCTTCCCCGGGACAAGTTATCCGTCCTGAATCGTTGTTTGACGGCCCCGAGGCCCGGCGAGGGCCCCCCGAGGCCGAAATTGGCCCGAAACCGCCCGTCCTGACTTTTGTTTGCGACGCGATCATGCCTGGGAATCTCTTCGGACCGGGGTCTTCGGAGGCCCCCACCCCCTCCCCCAGCGCAAGTGTTTCGTCCCGGGTCGTTTTTTTTGGGGGGGGGGCCAGGGATCGGGGGCGGCAAAGGGGGGTGATGACTAGGGGGAGGTGGATATGGCGGGGGCCATGATATTTGCCCGGATTTCATGGCGCCTCCTCTTGCTTCATTACGTCCTTGGTCCCCCCGCTGGGCCGCGCACATGCCGCCGGTCATGATCTGCACCCCCCCCTCCTGGACACCCCCCTCTTAGCCGCTCCCGAAGGGAGGGGCACTGGAGGCCAGAACCAGGCCAAACCTCATCATTGTTAGGTCGGGCATGTCCTCTTGCAGGCGGCCTCTGGAAGACAAATGAAACATAGTCAAAAAGAGATCAAACAATACGCCGAAAAGCACGAAGAATCGTCACCAGACTATTTTCTACTATTCTTGCAGATTCCTCCTGCGGAGAGAAATGTCCGATTTGACATGATTGATTGTTTCGACACGCTGTGTGTCTGGTGGGCACCGATCTAGGAAGTCTGTGCGGACTTCCAGACGTTTCTGCTTCAAGCCCTCTGTTGTTGCTCCCCTGCAGGGCCCGTTTGACCTGATCGATCCGATTATACATGTATATGTGTCTATATGTGTACATATACCATTATATATATATATATATATATATATATATATATATATATATATATCGATTACAGCCGCCCCGATCCGATTCGAGTTCCGACGACCCGATGCGGCCCGATAACTACGTGCGTAGCGCCCTGGCACAAACCCGCGCAGCCGATCCGATTCGATCCCGACCCAGTTTCGATGCAGCCCGATCAGGATTTCGTCTCGGTTCGTGTTTGTCAGGAGGGGAAGAAACACACAGACACAATTAATCGTCGATTCCCAGGAAAATATGGGAAACTATGGGAAGTGGGGGGAAGACGAAAACCCAGAAAGTATGTGAAAAGATCGGGAAATTCTTTACTTGTGTGTATTTATGTGTGTGTCCCAAGGCCCCTTCAGTTTGGGCGGTCCCGGGGCCCAGCGAGGGCCCAAGAGGCCGATAGCTATAAAAAAAGCGTCGTCTTGATTTTTGCAAGACGTCCGGGCAACGAGAAGTACGGTCGAACCTCGAGTCCGTCTTGGGGAGAGCACCCTCATGTTCTTCGTGTCTGTTGGAAGTGCTCGTGCATCCTGGGCCCTTGGCTGCTCTGGGGGTCTGGCCAGTGGAGGCTCGCAGACGTGCAAAGTCTTCACTTTTTCAGTACGGCGTCCCCCGAAGTCCCGACCCTCTCCCCGGGACCGGCTTTTCATCCTGAGTCCGAGGGCCCCCAAAGGCTGAAAACGGTGAAACCGCTGTCCTGATTTCTGTGGCGGCGCGACCATGTCTGGGGTCTCCTGTTCTTGAGGGGTGTGCTTCTGGCCACGGTCCGATGGCATGTACACTTGAGTCGGGCCCGTCCCTCCTCAGGAGGAATATTCAACAATCGTAAAAAAATAGTCTGGGGACGATTTTGTTACTATTTTTGACCATTTGGGGGTCTTTTTGCTTTTTTGTTTTAAGAAAAAATCGCCCAAAATCCCCCTGTAGCGAGGCAAGCCCGACCTAAATGTACACGCACCGATCCAGGCCGGGCCCCTGCTGGGCCGAGGATCGGTGCGCGCACGCCTCCCTTGCCGAGGTTCGTGGCCAACGGCAGCGAGGTGTTCGCCGTGCGCCCGCCGGAGGAGGGCCACAAGCGGCGGGACGTGCCGGTGGGCGTGTCCGCGGGGCTCCGGCCGGGCCCCAACAGCATCAGCGTGCGGGTGCTGCTGGTGGGGTCAAGCGGTGACACGTACCCAGAGCTGACCGCGTCGTAGAGATATCCGGGCGGGAGGTGTTTCGCCGTTTTCGGCCTCGGGGGGCCCTCGCCAGGCCTCGGGACCGTCCAGATTTCACGAGTCAGGATGAAAAACCGGTCCCGGGGAAAGGGTCGGGGCTTCCAGGGACTCCGTATTGAAAAAGGGGGGATACCCAGAGATCCGACGCTCCAAAAAAATTAGAGCGGGCGGATTGTGTCTGCTTTTGGCTTCCGGGGGGCCTCGCCGGGCCTCGGGAGGGATACCCAGAGATCCGACGCTCCCCAAAAATGTGACCGGGCGGATGGTGTCTGATTTGGGCTCCTGGGGACCTTCGCCGGGCCTCGGGAGCGTGAGAAAAGAATGCAGTGGTCCAGATCTCCGGGGCCCACGCATCGACAAAAATTGGAGCAGCCGGATGTCTGGGGGAGATAGATTGGCTACACGTAAGAGTGACTTCTCGCTGGAGTGGCCTCTGGCGCGGGCTCATCGGGTTCCCCCAGATCGCTGCGCGTGATGCGATAGCGGCTGACTGCGCGCTTGGATATGGCCACCTTGCGCCCCCTTCTCCCTCGCCCTCCACCTTCCGCACCTTCCGCGCGGCAGGTGCCGCGCCGCTGCGGACGCCGCCGCCGCCGAAACCGCTGCTGCGGCCTCGGCGGAAGTCGCAGTGGCGGCCGCGGCGGCGGCCGCCGCGGCGTGGAACCCGCCGCGCGGAAGGTGCGGAAGATGGAGGGCGAGGGCTCCTCCGCGCACCAAAGGTCACTCTTGCCTAGGGAATTTCTTGCGTGCAGCCGAGAAAAGCCCAGGCGTGCTCGCGTCGTTCGAGGGAGCGTGGATCCGCCACGGGTCCCGTTTCCATTGCGACATCGGCGCGCTCCGTCGAGAGAGGAGGCGGCGTTGGCTCCACGTGTTGGGAGCGCCTTCCCCGATCTGTGGATCTGGCTGATCCGCGGATCCCTGGCGCCCGCGCGACAGATCTACGGATCGGCGTGCGCCCGAGTCGCGAAACAGAAACATTAGTTTGGGGCCATTCTGGGGTGTCCCCAGAGATCCGACGCTCCAAAAAAAAAGGAGCGGGCGGATTTGGGCTGATTTGGGCGCTTCTAGGGGCCCTCACCGGGCCTCGGGAGCGTCAAAAAACGATTCAGGGCGAAAAGCCGGCCTGAGGGAAGTGGTCCAGACCTCCGGGGCCCACCCATCGACAAAAATTGGAGCAGCCGGATGTCTGGGAACGACTTGGGTGGAAGGTCTTGGGGAATGGGGTCGAGGTCTCGGGGTGTCCACGCTGGTTCCCAGACATGCGACGTCCTGATTTTTTCAGGACGGCGTCCCCGGAAGTCCCGGTACCCTTTCCCCGGGACCGGTTTTTCGTCTCGAATCGTTTTTCGACGGTCCCGAGGCCCCCGGCGAGGGCCCCGAGAGGCCAAAAGTTGCGAAAAGCCTCCGTCGTGAATTTTTCCATGCGTTGGATCTCTGGGTGGGTGGAAGGTCTCGGGGGAATGGGGTGGAGGTCTCGTGGTGTCCGCGCCGGTTTCTCTGTGAAGGGCCAACGTGCGCGCGACGTCAGGGGCCTGGGAGGGTGCCGGCACCGCTGCTCCCCAGACCCCAGACTTCTCCCCAGGGGTGCGTTCTGACCAGCACGTCGAGGAGAATCCAGCGGTGGCGACACCTCAATGACCCAGACATCCTGCGACCCAGAGATCCAACGCATGGAAAAAAGCAAGAGGGATGTTTTTCCCAGCTTTTGGCCCCGAGGGCCCTCGCCGGGCCCCGGGACCGCCGAAAAAGCGGCTCGGGACGAAGAGCCTGTCTTGGCTGGGGTCGAGACTTCCGGGGAGCCCGCATTGAAGAAATCAGGGCATCGGACCTTTGGGTTGTATTTTGCATCCGCGGCCCCAAATCTCCCGATCCCTTCCCCTGGGACAGCTTTACGCCTGGGTCCACGTCGGATGCTCCGGGGTCCCGACACATAGGCTCCCGAGGGCCTCGTCGAGGAAAACCCGCCTGTATCCCCAGAGATCCGATGTCGTGATTTTTTCAGTGCGGCGTCCGCGGAAGTCTCGACCTTTCCCCAAGACAGGGTTTTTGTCCTTCCGTAGCCATTTTGGCTCAAGCCATTTTGGCTCAAGTCTCGCGGCCGCCGATTCTTGCGCCCCCGGGGCGCAAACCCTGCGCCCGCTCGGTGCGGCAACGCCACACCCGCGGGGCCCGATGGCGTCTGTCTCCGAGAAGTTCGACGCCTCGGGCGGATTCAGTGGCAAGGGCGACGGTCGCGCCAAGGTGCACATCCGCATGCAGCAGCGCAACGGCCGGAAGTCTTGGACGACGGTCCAGGGATTCCCAGAGCAGGTGCAGCTCCCGAAGACAGGCAGGGTTCTGCCCGTGAATTTCGAGAAGATCCTGCAGCACCTCAAGAAGACGTTCAAAACCAACGGCACGCTCATCTATGACTCGGAGCACGGCACCATCATACAGCTGCAGGGTGACATCCGCAAAGAGGTTGCCGAGTTTCTGGTCGGAGCCACAGCGCTGATATCGAAAGACCAGGTGATGATCCACGGCTCCTGAGCGGCCCCCTTGCGTTTCTGCCTCCTGGCCACTCTTTTTCCTTTTGGTCCTTCTTCCTTCTCCCTCGCTTTCTCGCTCTCCCTCTGCTTGTCCTTTCTTCCCTCTCCTCCCGCTCCCCTTTTTTCTCCCCCATGCCTGCTGCTTGTGGTTTGGGAACCCCCTGTTCCTCAGAGGTGACGCTGGCAATGCCCATCACCACTGCATATGGTCCACAGATAACCCAGACATCTGACGTCTCGATTTTTTCGAGACACGGGCTCCCGACCTCCCGACCACTTCCCCGGGACCGGCTTTTCGTCCCGGGTCGTTCTTTGACGGTCCCGAGGCCCGGCGAGCGCTTCCAGAGACCGGAAGCGATGAAAAATTGTCGTCTCGATTTTTTCGAGACGCCCGGTGTTTGGGAAATCAGGCGAGACGGTTGCAAGATGTGGCGTGGTGCCTGCCCCACCCCCACAAGGGTCTGCACACCGCGGTGCCATGCACGACAAAAGTGCGATGTCGTCTCGCGTGGCTGATCGTGCTGAAGCATGTAGCCAGCAGTACAGGCGAGTACCTCCGCAGTTCTAGTTCGCTTGCTTCTTGCCCGCGGTGCAGAAAAAAGAGGCCGTTTTTTTGTTTGATCCTGAGTCGTTGTTTGACGGTGCCGAGGCCCGGCGAGGGCCTCCCGAGACCGGAAACGGCCAAGAACCTTCCGTGCCGTTTTTGGTTTATGACGCGATCATGTCTGGGATGTCCTCTGAGGGGAGGCGCGCGGCGTTCGGGTTGTAATTCGAGCCGCCGCCGGCCGTTCTCGGGACGACCCTGGCAGGCCCAGGGCGTTCTCGGCGAGAAGCGCAGCTGCTGGAAGGCCTCTCGAGGCGAGAAAATCTCCAAGCGCCAAAACGCCGGGAGCCCCGCCAGTATCGGAACCCAGCTATGATCGCGTCGTAAAAAAAACAGGACGGGCGGTTTTTGGCCGTTTTCGGCCTCGGGGGGCCCTCGCCGGGCCTCGGGACCGTCCAAAAACGAGTCAGGATGAAAAACCGGTCCCGGGGAAAGGGTCGGGACTTCCAGGGACGCCGTCCTGAAAAAATCAGGGCGTCGCATGTTTGGGACCGTTTTCTCCCCGAGACCGCCGACGTCTTGACTTTTTCCATGCGGGACTTTTTTCCCCGAGACCCCCACGTCTTGACTTGAGTTCTGGGCCACTTCCCGAGGACCGCCTTTTCGTCCCGGCTCGTTGCTTCACGGTCCGTGGGCCCAGCGAGGGCCTCCCGACGCCGACAATTGCGGAAAACCGATCGCTTTTGCTTCCACGCGTTCGAGGTTCCCAGAGATCCGATGCCGTGATTTGTTCAATACGGTGTCCCCGGAAGTCTCGAACCCTTCCCCGGGACCCGTTCTTCATCCCGAGTCGTTGTTTGACGGCCCCGGGGCCCGGCGAGGGCCCCCTGGAGGCCAAAGACTGCGAAAGGCCGCTTGTCTTGCTCTTTTTTTCCCAGGCCCCTGGGGGGAGGAGGAGGAGGAGGAGGAGGAGGAGGAGGAGGAGGAGGAGGAGGAGGAGGGGAGGAGGAGGGAGGAAGGAGGAGGAGGAGGAAGGAGAGGAGGAGGAGGAGGGGCGGAAGGAGGAGGAGGAGGAGGAGGCGAGGAGGAGGAGGAGGGGAGGAGGAGGAGGAGGAGGAGGAGGAGGAGTATTAGGCGGAGTAAGGAGGAGGGAGGAGGAGGAGAGGAGGGGGAGGGGGAGTGGGGAGTGGGAGGGGGAGAGAAGGCTTTTTGGGTCTCTGGGCCTGGGCCCTCCGAGGTGCAGGACGACCCCGCGGGCGACTTCGTGCTGGCCCTGGCGGTCACTCGGCAGGTGGGCGTGCCGGAGCTGCGGCGGCGGGTGGCCCCCAGCGACCCCGAGGAGTCGCGGCGGCGTGCGCTGGAGCCGTGGGGCCTCCGCAAGCGGGGGTGCCGCGCCCCGCGGGGCGGCGCGCACGCTCGGCATCGCTTCTCCGATCCCCCTCCCATCGGTGCCTTCTTCTGTCTGGGAGGAGAGGAGGAGAGTAGGGAGGAGAGGAGGAGGAGGAGCAGGAGGGAGGAGGAGGAGGAGGGAGAGAGGAGGAGGGAGGAGGGGGAGGAGGAGGAGGAGGAGGAGGAGGAGGAGGATGAGGAGGAGGGGGGAGGAGGAGGAGGAGGAGGAGGAGGAGGAGGAGGAGGGGAGGAGGAGGAGGAGGTGGAGGAGGAGGAGGAGGAGGAGGAGGAGGAGGGGGGGAGCGAGAGCCAACGCATTGCAAAAATGAGGGCGGAGGCTTCTCGCGGTTTTACCCCCACCAAAATGACCCCCCCCCAGTTGGGGATACGCCCCTCGAGACCCGCAGGGAACGGCCTATCTCCCCATCTGGGGGGGTAAATCGGCCAGTGGGGCCCAGGCCACGCCGCTGGGGATGGGGGTCGGATGAGCGATACTCACACACTCAGAAGTCTGATCGTAGATTCTGGGGGCACAAGCAATGACAGAAACACGAAAAAACTCGGAGGTCCGCGCGGATCTGGGGCCCAGGCCACGCCGCTGGGGATGGGGGTCGGATGAGCGATACTCACACACTCAGAAGTCTGATCGTAGATTCTGGGGGCACAAGCAATGACAGAAACACGAAAAAACTCGGAGGTCCGCGCGGATCTCTCGGGATCGGCGTTGGACCCCCCCTGGCTTCGGGCCCCAGGGTCCTCACGAGAGGGTCCAGGGCTCCGGTCGTGATTTGTTTTGCGATGTTGCATACTTTTGGCAACGTCAGATCGGAGGGAACGTCATGCATCTCGTCGGAGGTCCGCGTGGATTTCTCGAATCGGCGCTGGACCCCCCCCCCTCCCTGGCGCGCGGAGCGCGCCAGCGGCAGCTCCGGAGGCGCCGCGTGGGGGGGTTCTGGCGCAGGCCCGAGAAATCAGCGCGGACCTCCGAAGATGTTTGATTGAGCCATGATTTGTCTTAGATCATCCGCGATTCTATAATCGTCGACGTTGGCGATGCATCGGCGACGTCGGCGTCAAGAAAATCGGGTTCCACCCTCGAGCCGCATCGCCAATACATCGGCGACGTGGAGCGCTCCCTCGACCCCACAGAAAATTGCTCAGAAGGCGGGAGGGCTCCTGAGAAGCACCGCCGCCTTCTGAGAAGGCCTCCTCCTCCTCGCTTCCCCCCCGCCCCCCGCTCGCCGCCGATATTGCGGGGGGGGGGGGATGTTCTGTTCTCGATGTGCAGTCAGCCCGCATAAGAAGAATGGGCGACCTTCCAAAGGGTACCCGTGCATCCTTGCCCCTTCGGCCCACCCGTGGCCACTTTCGCCGGCCGCACCCCGCTCGGGAAGCTTCGAAATGGCCCTCCAAGGCCCTTGCATCCTCATCGCGCATCCTTCTGATACGGGCCGAATGTACCTGATTCCCAGACCCTCGACGTCATGATTTTTTCATGACGGCGACCCCAAAGGTCTGGACCCCTTCCACGGGGCCGGTTTTTCGCCCTGGGTCGTTTTTTGACGGTCCCGAGTCCCTGTAAGGGCCTCCAGAGGCCGAAAATTGGGGAAAACCTCCCGTCGTGATTTTTGCATGACTCGAGGGGGTCTGACTTGGGCGCGCACGTCCACAATAGGCTCCCTGTGATGTCATCCGCCCCCGGGGTCGTGGGGGGAATGGGGTGGGGGGCAGGAGCAGGATGGATGGAGGGAGGGAGGGAGGGGGAGGGAGGGAGGATGAGAAGAAGGGAGCAGAGGAGAAGGAGGAGGAGGAGGGAGCAAAAATCGCCTTGGAGGAGGAGGAGGAGGAGAGGAGGGGGAGGAGGAGAGGAGGAGGAGGAGGGGGGACGCCAGGAGCTGCTGGCCGCCGGGCGGGGCGGCGGGGCCTCGGGCGGTGAGTGCCTCACGAGCGACGCGCTGCGGCTGAGGCTCGGGGGGAGGGAGGCCAGGGGGGGAGGGAAGGGGGGAGGGGTCCCTCCTCCTCCTCCTCCTCCTCCTCCTCCTCCTCCTCCTCCTCCTCCTCCTCATCCTCCTCCTCCTCCCTCTTCCTCCTCCTCCCTCCCTCCTCCTCCTCCTCCTCCTCCTCCTCCTCCTCCTCCTCCTCCTCCTCCTCCCTCCTCTCCCCCCTCGTCCTGCTCCTCCTCCTCCTCCTCCTCCCCTCCTCCTCCTCCTCCTCCTCCTCCTCCTCCTCCTCCTCCTTCTCCTCCTCCCCCCTCCTCCTGCTCCTCTCCTCCTCCTCCTTCTCCTCCTCCTCCTCCTCTCCGCCTCCTCCTCCTCCTCCTCCTCCTCTCCCCCTCCTCCTCTCTTCCTCCCTCCTCATCCTCCTCCTCCTGCTCCTCTCCTCCTCCTCCTCCTCCTCCTGCTCCCCCCTCAACCTGCTGCTCCTGCTCCTCCTCCTCTCCTCCTCCTCTTCTTCCTCTCCTCCTCCTCCTCCTCCTCCTCCTCCTCCTCCCCCTCGCTCCTCTTCCTCCCCCTCCCTCCTCCTCCTCCTCCCTCCTCCTCCCTCCTCCTCCTCGTCCGTCTCCTCCTCCTCCTCCTCCTCCTCCTCCTCCTCCTCCTCCGCCTCCTCCTCCTCATCATCATCAGGGCCGGCCGTCGAGGAAGATCAGCCTCGAGCGGCATCTCGGTGGCACGCCCCGCGGGGGGGACTTAGAGGTTCGAGGTTCGAGGCTCGAGGCGGTGTTCATTGTTTTCGGCCTCCGGGGGCTGTTTTCGGCTCCCCGGACCCCCGAAACGCGATCCACGGTGAAAAGCCGCGTCGGGCGAACCCTGGGAGGGGTCGGGGGAGCGATTTTGACCGACATTCGGCGGCGCACCTGGGGGAGAAGTGAGGGGGAGGCTTTCTCAGGAGGCGGCGCGCCTTCTCAGAATCCCTCCGGCCTTCTGAGGAGTTCCCTGGGACTTCGGGGGAGGCTTAGAAGACTAAGGCCGGAGGACTTACGAGCCTGCTGTGAAGGCCCGCCCCCTCTCA